ACCAATTTATAAATAAGTTTTCTGTGGAATTTGTCAATATGAGTAGAAGATAATCGATAATGTCAGTAAAAACTCTTACACAATCGTCACAGTGTTCAGAATAGTTGGCATAAATATGGTCTGTTACCGTTGCAAAGTAAATTGTTATTTTGGGTTGGCTCAATCTGATTAAAATCCCATGTAGGTTTGAGGCACCAATTTTTGTTTTTTTATTATTATTTCTTTATATAATATTTATTTGTATTTTGATTTGAAGATTTTTTTGGTTTTACTTGCCGTTAATCAGTTTTTGGAGAATCGTGTCCCAGTCGCCTCTTAAAAAAAAAAAAAAAAATTGGAGCCTCATACCTACATCGGATTTTAATCATGTTGGGGGTGGCTGTGAAATTAATTGTTCAAAATTAGGGGAGGAGGGTGCATTGAAATGGTTAATATGAGATCAACAGGCTGGAGTTAATATTTTCTAGGTAACTTTCAAGTCCTGAAGTAAATTCTCCAACACTCGTACCTGGTTTCCTATATATAATATCTAAATGTGGACCTCAGTGATAATTGCAGTTCAATCCACAATGAATCTAAATGGGGAATGATGACAGGTGTTTTAGAACGTACTTGAGAGATTCTTGAATAACTGTTCTCACCCCTCTAGGACTAATTTCCAACACTGTTAGTTGGTAATAATAATTTTTAGCTTTGTTAAGAGAGCTAAATAAAATATGGCATTACTCAAAACTAATAAATTTGACTTTATTTTCATTATGATGTTAATTTACTTTTATAATATTTTTTTTTCCCACAGCAGTGCACTATTTATAATGAATACAAAGAATGTCCTAGTGTCTGGTTTCAGTCGTATATCACCTCAAAATGATGACGGTATTAAAAAATGTCTCAAGGACTATTTTAAGAAACCAGAAGTTGGAGGTTATACAGTAGATGTGGTCTTGTCAACTAGAAAACCAAACTCTGCTATTATCATTTGTCCTGATGCAAAAGGTATGATCTTAAAATGATTTTGCATGGCTTAATTAGTATATCATATCATTTGCTGCAATGTAATATGTGGTGGTTTTGAAAGCATTGAATGACATGAAATGACACACCTTTTATATGTGAATATGTATATAAATATATTACTTTGTATATATGCCAACTACCATTCTACCAGTATATGGTTAAACTACCAGTCTTTATATGTCAACAATCAGTCCATATATGTCAACTACAAGTCCATATATGTCAATTACCAGTCTTTATATCTCAACTACCAGTCCATATATATCAACTACCAGTCCATATATGACAACTACAAGTCCATATATGTCAACTACAAGTCCGAATATGGCAACTACCAGTCGATATATGTCAACTACTAGTCCAAATATGTCAAATACCAGTTCTTATATGTCAACTACCAGTCTAAATATGTCAAATAACAGTTCTTATATGTTAACTACTAGTCCATATATGTCAACTACCAGTCCATATATGTCAACTACCAGTCCAAATATGGCAACTACCAGTCCAAATATGGCAACTACCAATCCATATATATCAACTACCAGTCCATATATGGCAACTACTGGTTCAAATATGGCAACTACCAATTCATATATATCAACTACCAGTCCATACAGGTCAACTATAGGTCTATACATGTCAGCTACTCATCTATTTTTGTCAGCTACCAGTATATACATGTAAACTGCCAGTTTATATGTGATAGCTACCAGTCTATACATTCATGTCAACTGCTAGTCTACACATGTCAACTACCAGTCCTATATGTCAGCTACTGATCTACATGAGTCAACTACCAGTCTAAATGGGGCATCTTCCAGTATATATGTGTCAGCTACCAGTCTATACATGTCAACTACCTGTCTATACAT